CTGAGCGTGAGAGTAGGGCTGTTTCCAAACCTGCCTATGTCTCTTGCGCCTTGTACAATGTGCTCTACTAGGCCACTTTCAGTCCTTAGATACAGATATCTGTGGTGATATATTTGCATAGTTTTGCTTATGAATCTCTCAGTGGTTAATTTCAGTAAAGAAAGCAGTTTCTGGGGGCTTCTAGAAGATTTCATGATGATTGATATAGTGAATAACCAATGAAAACCTTATAGTAGCTGTATCTTATGCCAAGATTTCAAACCTGGTTAAATAAAATTGGGCACTTTTATATATGAGGGCACTGAAAGGGCTTGATCTTCCAGAATCTATGAGTTTCCACAACTCTGCTGAAGTAGATAGCAATAGTGGAGATACTCAGAAGTTATAGACATCAGGCCAAAGATTTAGATGTTCAAATATGGATGAATGTCTCTATTTAGGACACATGCACTAATAAATGTTAACTTTGGGTGGTATTTGCAAAAGCACCGAAAGTATTCACAGGTACAAATATAACTGAAAGTGAAATGAGGTCAGTATGACTTATGTTCCTAAATCCTATAGGCACTCTGAAAACCTCCCCTTTACTCTGCAGGCTAAAATAGATATTTGCACCTGGACTACATATAGTTTTTATAACAGTATAATTATTTTGGTGGGGGTGCAATTTTTTACTTATATACTTTTACCAGTACATTCCCCTGGTCTGGACATAATTTTGCCAATATAAAGGTGACCTATAACAGCATGGCTTCTTCCCTATAGCACGCAAGAGTAATCTATACTGGTATAAGTACCTTTACATTGATATAACTGTCCACAAGGGTGGTTACAACTCTTCGACTATATTAGTACAATTAAAGTGGTGCAACATTTATTCTTAAACAAGGCTTAAGGAAAAAAAAGAGACTTAGCTTTTTAATCTGCTTCTGCTTCACTGAATAGCTCAGATAATAATAGTCTAGAGTCACAGGTTTGATTTTACCACCAGCAACATAACAGATGTCCATCTTTTCTGGGAGCTCTGCAATCTCTGCTTACAACCAGCACTTGAGAAGGGTTTCTTAACACAAGTATACTCCTTTGGGTTGTTTGGGTGGAAAAAAGTTTGTTAGCTCCCACCTGAGCTACACACATTAAAAGTAAGTGGGAAAGATGGAATCTGTCCCTTTTGCATTTGAAATTTTTGGTTAGTTTGTATTTGCTGTGAATTTTGGATTAATCTTCTACCGGCTCACTTTATGCTGGAATAGTATGCCAACTCCACTGGCTTCGGGCAGCAGCTAATTTTTAAACTCAGTATATACAGCCGCATACCCAACATCCTCTTTATGATGAAACTAATGAAATTACAGACACATCTATCTGTTGTGGCCAGTACCATAGCAAGGGAGGGCTGAGCAGGGCAACCACCCTGGGAGCCAAAGTGAAGGGGCACCAACTGGCAAGTCGTGATTCAATATTGCATTATAAATTTTGAAAAATTTTGGCTGATGTGGCTGATAAATGCTGTGTGCATGCATGCAGCCACAGCATGCACGCAGCCAGCCCAGCAGCTTGGAGAGGACCGTTCAGCTGGTGAGTCTGTTGTGGGGGGGAAGGAGTGGAGAGGGGCAAATGGAGGCCCCCTGGTGAGGGAGGAGGGGGGCTGGGACTGGGGAAGGCACTGCCCAGTCAGGGTGGGGTGCAGGACAGAGCCGCAAGTGGCTCTTCCGGGGGGTGCGGGGAAGTGGGGGTGGGTCCCATCGCTGCGTGCACCTCTGGGCAAACATGGGCAGAGGCGAGTGCCCCCCAGATCTGTGCGCAGGGCAAGGGCAGGCTTCTGCTGTGGTCTTGCCCTGGGTGCCAAACTTCCTTGTGGCTTAGTTCTGAGACTAACAAGTCAGTTCAAAATAAACATGGTTGGGAAGCTATAGTACTTCTGTTGAACACATTTGAAAGCCCACACCCCAAATTCTCAACTGTGCCTAATGTCCATTGGGCATAGCTGAGCAGGGAGAGGCCATTGCAACTGGCTGTAGTTCCTTGATGCTGGGAGTAGTTCTTAATAGGACCTTGTGTCTTTGACAGCAGCCAGGATAGCAAGCAAATAGTTTATTTTATGCCACTTGCAATACAGACTCAAAGGAAGTGGAACTTGGGGCTTCTCTACCAATGAGGTGGGCAGATATGGTGACTGGGAAGATCCTTTTCTCTGCTGGGAGGATGAAAAGGAGCTAATTCACAGAACAGGATTGTCTACCTCATAGACATGTATTCACTGAAGCCAGCTTCTTGTGAAAACTGTGGTTACAGAAAATAAAGTCTGTTACACAGAATGCAAAACTGATATATAGCTGACTGCCAGATGCTATTCAAAGAATTTTAGTTTCTTTATTAAATGGAATAAATCATCTTGCCTGTCAAAATACATACATTTTCAGAGCGAAGAACCCAATTTATGCCTAGATAGAGTATCTTATGTAAAATTATACTCTATAATGTTAGGTAATCCTCCCCAAACAGATGCGAGCGTCTCCCTTATTTTATTGGCAGCCTCTTGCCAGATGTGAAATACTGTTATTAGTTTGTATGTCTTCCTGCAATGTTTAAAGCAAACAACACCAGGAGCAGATAATGACATAACACCCCACGTTACTAAGAATGTTCTTGCATTCTAATTTACATATTTATCTGTTGTCAAAATGGCTCAGCATTACAGAGACAACTGATAGCAAATATTCACTACATGATATGGGTCTAAGTGTGAACCATGAAGGTAGAGGCAAAAATGGCTAATGCCCAACATACTGGGTGGGACTGTAAGTATCAAGGTGTCTCCATGTCCCCCCTCCCCTTCTCTCCAGGCATATTTTGAAAGACTTCCACTCAGCTCTGTCACTTCTCTGACCCAGCATTCCTATTGAACAAATTGCTTATGCACACATGCCCATGCACCAGCTTCCAGGCCAGAAATACAACTCCTTCCTAACACCTACTTCCACTAGACTCCAAAGGCCTTCCCTTTTGTTCGTAAACCTTCTTGCTAATGGCTGCTGGGTCTGGAGAAGTAGGAAAGGAAGTAAAGAATGGCTGGGACTGCAGAGTCAAATATTCTGCCTTTATGAGGCTGAAGAGAACCAGCACCACTAAATGCCTATTTTTATTGCGCTGTAATAACTCTTCCCTGATGTAGTTAGCTATGTTAGGGCCTTGTTATACCTTACGCAGTAAGCTGCACCAATGTTAAATCAGCTTAGTGTTATTTGGCTTAGTGGAGCAGTCACGCCTTAAGGAGAAAAACCATCTCTGACTGTCCTTCACCTGCACAGCTGTGACTGCTACTAAAGGTTTGGTGAGCAGGGGCAGGACTACAGCCCCAGGTGGAGGCGGTACTCCACAATATTCCCATAATATTCCTTATATTTTTCTGTGAAAACTCTTTGAGTGCCCTTAATCTGAGGCCCTTTCAATCGAGGGTGGGGGTGGGGGGGAGGGGGGCAAAAGGTGGTTGAAGCATCCTTGGCAACCCCAGGTGACACCAGGACCGGAAGTGCACAGGGGCTGGGGCACCTGTGGCTGTTGTGGGTTCCTGGACATGGGGAAGGACCACACAGATGCTAGGTGCTCCAGGCCTGCTGCACTCGCTCTGTCCAGAGGGAGCAGCAAGCTGGTCCAGGTGGCAGCAGGAGGCACTGCAGCTTCTGAGCACTCTAGGGCTGCAACACTTGCTCTGCCCAGCAGGAGCAATGAGCTGGCCCAGGCAGTAGCAGGAGGCACTGTGGCTACTGGGCACTCCAGGGCTGTTGCACCTCCTGATGCCACCTGACTGGCTTGCTGCTCCCACTGGGCAGAGTGAGCACTGTAGCCCTGGAGCTCCTGGTGGCTGTGGTGCCTCTGAGCAATCCAGGCCTGTTGCACTCACTTTGCCTGATGTGCCTGGGGGACAAGATGCCATGCCTGGCCCTGCTGCACCCCAGTATCTCCACTCACCTTGACTCAGAGAACAGGGGGGTTGGGAAGGGGCAACTGCATCTTGGGATACTGGGAGACTTGAACTTGGATGGAACGTGTGTGGAGTGGCCACACCTTAATGGAACAGGAGCAAGGTTATGCAGATTAGAGATAATCCTGCCCTGAAGTGGTGTAACTTTAAATTGAATAATGAGTGCTTTAAGCCACTTGAAGGTATTAATATGCACCAAATCCAGGGAATAAGGGCTCCAGAAGCCACCTAAAATTACTGGGTAACAAGACCCTTAGTCTGAAGTCAGGAAAAAGGCAGAGCAGTAGCACTTTTTAGTTGAACTAATTCAAGCATAATTGTTTACAAGCAACAGTTTACTTGGCCAGATGCTATGCAAGGACCTGCAAAACAGTGATCTGAGGGTGGAGGGCCTGATGTGGGGCAGAAGGGGCAACTGGAGTGATAGGGGAGTGATCTGGAGGTGGACTGGGCAATTCGGAGGGTAGGAGGGGCAGCAGCCTGGCAGCTCCCCACCCACTCCCCTCTTCTCCCTCATTTCCCCCCTCACCTTTTCCCCATATCCCCCTTCCCATCTCCCTCCCCATCTTCACCTTTTTTCCCTTCCTCCCCATTCACCCCACCCTCATCCACCTGTTTCTCAGCTTTTTCCAGCTAGGCATACTGGAGGACTGCAGACTGGTAGCTTTAACTCAGGGGAACACTCAGGAGCTAACTTATCTCAAGCAAGTTATCATAGCTCAAAAACAATCCTCATCTGAACTGGCATAACTTTAAAATGCTTGATGGTAGCTGGGTGAGCTCCAGCCCCACAGGCCAACTCAACTATTTTATCAACTATCCTAGTATAGTTCATCAGCTCTACTACATAAATAAATACTGAGTTTTGGCTTAACTGTGCAGCTACTGAAATCACTCTATGACTTTATCAGCAATAGAATTAAACCGAGCAATTTTGAACATCCCACCTGGAATCTAAAGCTGACAGTAAGACTACTATATTAATAAACTTAAAGAACAGCAGCATCCCTGGAAGGGCTAGGTTCTGCTATGTCCTGATTTGTGGGAATCATCCCACAAGTAAGTCTGCAGGGGAAGTCTCCACTACCTTTTCTTTCTTGGCCATCTTTCTGATACGTCCCTTTTCCACTTCTCATACTGACAGTTCTGTGTAAAACTCAATCATACTGATTCAGGCCTCACACTGACTGATATTCATCTGGCCAAGGAGGAGACTGACCACCTGTCAGGCTGTGCTTAGTGAATTGTCCTTCATTACCTTTTAGCTCAAATCACAAAACCAGCCCAATAACACTGATCTGGGGCCACTGAGCAGAAGCTGTGGTGTTTTATCCAAGACAATACACAGAAATGGGCTCAAGCCATGAAAGTTCAGATCCAAATCAAACTAGGTGCCCTCCACAGTGGAATGGCAGAAGGTCCCCTCCAGAACCAGGGCTGCTCACGGTGGCGCAGTACCAGCTTCCCCAGTTCAGCTGTGGAACAGGTATAAGGCCCTGGTGACACTGGAGGAAGAGGAAGGCGAGGAGGAAGCCTCTGCTGAGGAGGACACTCCACACACAGAATAGGATGAAGGAGGCAAGTTGACCCAGAAGAAGAGATGCCGGGTACTGTTCATAGGTGACTCCATCCTGAGAGGAACAGAGGGCCCCATCTATTGCCAAGATCCCATGACATGTGAGGTCTACTGTCTGCCCAGAGCACAGATTCAGAATGTGATGGAGATGATCCCAGTCCTCATCCATCCCACTGATTACTACCCCATGGTCCTAATCCATGTGGGCACTAATGATGTGGCCAGGAGCAGTTCAGATCACCTGATGAAGGGCTACCAAGCACTGGGGGGCAAGCTAAAGGAGATAGGGGCACAGGTTGTCTTCTCATCAATCCTTCCAGTGAGTGGACATGGAAGACTCCATGAGACCTGCATCTGGGATGTCAACTTGCAGCTTTGGGAATTGTGTCTCACAGCAGGCTTCGGCTTTCTGGACCACAACCCACACTTCAAAACAAGAGACATGCTTGGGTGGGAGGGGCTCCACCTCTCCCCCAAAGGTAAGCTTGTGTTCTCTTTCAGGTTGGCTGATCTCCTCCTGCAGGCTTTAAACTAGGCTCATCAGGGGAGGGGGACGAAGAGGACCAAGAGAGACATGGAATACTGAACCAGAAGACACCCTCAAGAACAGCCCAGCCAAGACAGGCGACGACCACAAGAAATACCATGTAAGACAGAGGGGCCCAGATAGTCCTGGGATTGGGGGGAATTTGCATATACCCTCAGGAGGCCTTAAATGCCTCTACATTAATGCTCATAGTATGGGGAACAAGCAGGAGGAACTTGTCCTCCTGCTAGCCAACACAAACCCAGACATAGTGGGGCTCACTGAAACTTGGTGGGATTCAACGCACGACTGGGTGGTAAACATCAAGGGCTATAGGCTGTACAGGTGGGATAGAACGGGAAGGAGAGGTGGGGGCGTGGCACTCTATGGCAAAGAGCAATACATATCCTCAGCAAACAGCACTGGGTCTGAGGTAGGGCAGACTGAGGTGCTCTGGGTGAGAATACAAGGAGGCCAGGGGGAAAGGGACCTAATGGTGGGGGTCTACTATAGGCTACCTAGCCAGGGGGAAGAGCTGGAGTGGGAATTCTCTGGTCGGCTCGTGGAGGCAGTCAAGTCAAGGGACGTGGTCATATCATGGGTGACCTAAACTCTCTGGACATCTGTTGGGAAGAGCAGTCAGCTAAGTCTGACAGCTCATGTAGGTTCCTAGCCAAATTACAGGACCTCCATCTAACCCAGGAGGTGCACAGCCCCACCAGGGGAAATGCCTTGTTGGACC